CAATCTCAACAGAATTAACTATATCTAGTATCAATAGAGATCAAACAGGACAATATACATGTACAGTTAGTAATATCATGATACCAACTACTGGTGGACAACAAACTAGTATGGTAACTGATGATACATTCGTTACAGTTTTGTGTAAGTGTTAATATTTTCTTTGATGATATCCAATCATTTGCATAATTTTATGTACTTTCAACAATCAAATATTTATACTTTTTTTCTTTCTGACAAGAGAAAGAGTTATAGAAGATGTTAATGTATATGGACAGGTTTTAGTTTTTGTTATTTGTTTTCGATTTTAAATTATGATTCCAAAATCGGAGAGAAATACACTTATTGCCGTTTTGTTTTGTTCCTCAAACCAACATGATACATTTTTTTCTCTATGCCTAATTTACTACCTTTTAAAAAATACTTCATTTAGCTGCACCAAATCTGCCTAGTACCATAACCATTCAACCGCCACAATCCATAATTTGTGTTGAGTGGACACCAGGATTTAATGGAGGAGCATCACAAAGTTTTATAGTTCAACATTCTACTGATGATAAAATATGGGTCAATTCGTCCACAATACCAAATGGTATCAATAATGACCGAGTTGACTATTGTATAGAAGAATTAGAACCAGATACTAGTTATTATATCAGAGTGATAGCTAGTAATAAATATGGTGAAAGTATGACAGGTATGATTTGTCAGATAGAATCTTATTAACTTCGAGACAAAATAGATCTTAAATACTGGACATCAGACATTCGTGACGTAAGTATTGTTGGCACAGCCTTTTGGAAAGTAAAAATAATCATGTTATTTTGAATTTTAGCTAGTTTTCTGGGATTTAACATGTCCGCCGACTGCAGTAAGAATATTAATTGTGGTGACACCAATGATATCAATACTAGTTATAGCAGTGGTTATAACAATGGACTTGGTGCTGGTATTGGAATAGGTGTAGGGATATCTATAGCTATAGCAGTGATGGTTGCTACAGCAATATTTATTTATAGATATTGGTCAGGTCTGAGATTAATATTATTTGCTAAGATTCTGGTTCTGGCAACACACTTAAAAATTGATATTTGCTATGTATGTTGATGTTTTTCCATATCAAAATACTTTAAAGATGGTAATTAAAGTTAACAGATTGTACCTAATTAATGTATTTACTTGGATTATTGCTAGAAAAGGTTGGAAGAAGCAAACATGTTCTCTCCTTTTATTTAAGGCAAACGAAAGAAAGTTGAAGAAAAGTAAGTTTTTAGATTAGAAAAAATAAACGTGTTTTTAATAACTGATCTGGCAGTTTAAGATTAATTTGATGCTAAATTCTCTGCTTACATAGTTTTGTTTCATTCCCTTATATCAATTTATAAATTCGTTCTGTCCGAGCGAAGGTAACCAAAAAAAGTGACCCAATGTTAGTCAAGCAATCAACACTGTATATAATCTTAGTTTATTGAATTGTAATCTCAGTCATATATATATATACTTATATTATTTTATAGCTACGCTGGGATTAATACTACGACAAGATCTGGTAAATAGTTTCTCTTCATTCGTGTCTTTTATATGTCTTTCTAATTCAAAGTGTTAGGCAATTATTAAGAGTCACATAGAGAATTGATAAACTTCAGCTAAACTTTGTAGGCATATTATTTGTGCAATGAAAAGGAAAATCTACTATTGGAGTAGACATTAATTACACTTTATGTAAATTTTAAGATAATTTGGTACATTAAGAAACAGTTGATATTGTGTTTGATAAAACTGCATGTAGATCATTTATAATATTAAGATAGCTTGTCAGGCAAGGTACCAGAAACCCACTCGCAGAGTTGATTTTAAATACAAAATATTTGGCAGTACAGTAACAATTACCAGTATGAAATATTCAACCTTCAGTCACACATTTCTTTTGAACTTTTTGGTGTGATACTGTATAATATTACGGAGTTTCGTCAAAATCAATCAAAAATTGTGCCTTCCAGATTGTTTATGGGCTAAAAATTGAACGCGTTTTCAAGAAAAAGGGCAATAACTCATACTCATTATATTACGATTTTATTGATTTTCAATAGGGTTTATCCTTGGGTGATAACAAAGTCAAGAATTGCACCTTTTAGAGTGTTTACGAGCATTTAACAAGGGCATTGACACATACTCATTATTTTCTGATTTTCAATATGGTTCATCTTCGGGTGATTACAAATAATCATACCAAGTTTTGTGAATAATTGCACCTTCTAGAGTGTTTACGAGCAATTGTGGACGGACGGACAATCGGATATGGATGAAGCCAATTTCATGTGGGCGTATAAAATTGTAGTACAATGCTTAAAGGACGGTTATCCAGATATTTTAACAAAAATGCATTAAATTCTTTCAAAAACAATCATGAAACATTTATTGATCAAAATATCTTCTAAATGAATCTAAGTGCACAAATGGATGAATATTGAATGCTTTCACTAAAAATCACTTGTCATTTTTCTGTCGATGATCTGAAGGCGTGACAACAAGAATGACGAAAATCATTGCAAATGTATTTATAACCAAAATTATAAATTTAATTTTTAATTTGTATTAGTCACAAAGTTCCCTTCTATTTGTTTTAGATGACACACAAACATATCAAGAATTAGATACAGTCAACAATACAGCTAGAATACAATCAGATAATAGTTCTAATGTTGATAGAAACGATGCTAATATAGATGATATTAGACCATATGCTAATCTTGGTAAAAGTTAACAGAGGTACAAATATCAGGTTTTACCAAATTGATGTTTGATGATGAGGAATAGATAGTGATACATTATGCTATTTATGATCTTTACTAGTTCGTTGAAAACTTTTAATCAATCTTTTTCTTCGGTTTGTGTTGATCGATATGTAGATTTCAGGTGTGAAAATTTACCATCTTATATCGGTTTAATATTTTTTAAACATTGCATTTAATAAAAATGACAATTACTTTTCAGAATAAAGTTATGGGGAGAAAGTTCGGAAACACAAATTGTGAAAAATGTACTACAGATTTACCATCAAGAGTGTATTTCCTTTTTCTTAGAATAATTCAATTATAGTATCAAAATATTTTAAATAGTGCCCAATACAGTAAATGTGGGGCGATATAGAAATCATTTTATACTATATATTGTATAATCATATATTTTGTATTACCTGCGATGTTGTTTTTAGTAGTTTTTTTTGTAGTCATTAAATGACTTTTCCTGTGATATGGTTTTTATCGTCTTGTTTTGTTGTCACTATGTGACTCCTTTCTGTGATATTGATAGGTGTTATATTGTTTTATTGTTTTATTATTTTATCATATTCTGGAGCCATATAGCCCGTTTGGTGCTGATGTTCCTTAATGCATTTCATTTCATTTGTATTTTGTGTAATTTTACATTGCTTGATGTATTTGTATTCTCATCGATATGTGTACCCAATAATTTCATTAGCACTGCATCTAGAGTAAAATTTGCTCATTGAAATAAAACCAGTATTAAAAACAAACAAAATATTAAAAACATACAATGATTAATCTATTCAAAATTTAAAGTAGAGATCCGACTATCTTAAAAAAGCCACAACCTTCTCATAAAGAGAAATTAGGTCGGTTAAATAACAGAATGAATGTGTTGGTTGGAATTAATTGGTCGTCACGACGGATGGATATTCTATCAACGTTCGTGACTCCAATATCCTGTAATTCCTCCTTCATTTCCTCAGGAGAACATTGAGGTCTGGATGTCGAATGAGTTCAGAGAGGAATGAGGTGAAACTTTGATAGGGATATTAGCCAATGTAGATGAATTTAATAACAGCTCAGAATGAATTTTGCGTGAGCATTCAACCAACAAAGACCCATTACGTAATATTTGTCGATTTTGGTTCACTGGCAAGTCCAGTCAAACCTTTTGAAATTGCAAATGGGGACAATGATGATAAAGACCTCTCAGGGTCACTACTGTCAATGACAAGAAACCGAGGCCATGATTCGTCTGAATTAGACGAATCAGTAAATTCGGCCTCAGTTAACCGGCGCTTACACTCGTTTAAGTTTTTTTTAGTTGGTGTAGCCATGAAGAAATATTAAAGGATTCATCTCCCGAAACCCCCGACCACCACATCCGCGCGGGCTTTACGCGGGACTCCAGCGCCGGCGCCCTAGGGGTAATCGGGAGATATACTTAGACAAAAAAAAAAGAATAAAAGTTCTGGGTGGAGCAAATAAATTTTATTTTTATTTTTTTACCCAATTGACCCAAGCCGCTGCTTCTGAGTCAGTCTAACCTACTAACAATAGCAGGTAACAATCCTATGTCTTAGAGTTGGGATCTCAGGGCCTCTAACCCCCCTGGGATCCTTCTAGCTACTACATAGGATCACTAACAACAATAGCCCGTAACGTCCCAGTGGTGAAGTCGAGTAACCCTGGAAAATAATAAACTCTTCTCTGGAGAAATGTACTGTGTGTCTTGCTATCAGTTGTATATATGAGATCGTTTTAAGCAGACACAATATCTGAGAGCTGTCCAGAGTATTGAAGTGAATGTTATTGTTAATGTTATTGTTAAATAAAATTGTATTATTCCTAACGGTGTCTTGCATCAGTGCAATCAAATCCCCGTCCCTGAATTGTCGTTGGTTTCAAACTGACACGTCCACCCACAGCCAAATTCTCATTGGCTTGCATAGTATAGAAGGCAGGCTAAGGTAATCTCTTGCAAAAACAAGTCGGATGATTGGTGTATAAGACTTGAAGAAGGTGGGCCTAATGCGTAATACCTCGAGAGACCCGTGTCAGATCAGTGACAGATAATCTGATAAACATATTATGTCCAATGATTGGTGTAGAGGACTAAAGAAAGCTGGAGAATTGCATACTAATGCCGCACCCCTTGCATAAACACGATCAATCGATCAATCTTTGTTCTTTCGTACTTTCAATGATCGCCTTTAATTGAGGCTGACTAAGGTAATCTCTTGCATAAACACAATCAATCGATCAATCATCGTTCTTTTGTACTTTAATTGAACGTTGCTTGTCTCTCTCTCTCTATACCCTATAAGGCAGACAGTAGAAAAAAAAGGGTAAATGATAACGCACAAACTCAGCCGCATATTACACTGCATTTGCATACGTCCCTTACTTACGAATGGCATCACTTGCATGGTCATATTGGCCTTTGGAGTCTTAATTCATTGATAGCTTGATAATTGAACACGCAAGGGCAAACGAAAAAGGCGTCAGAAAGTCGAAACGGCACTGGGTGCCAGCCCTGGTGTGTTGGGCATGAGGTCAGGTCGATCCGAGTCGCATTGGGCGAGTGTATGCAATTAGCCTGTAATGGGCCTAGTCCTATTTCCCCATAGACTCTCTTTGTTACCAAATGAACCAGACTTGGACACGCAAGGGCAGACAGACAGTCGTCAGAAAGTCGCTATGGCCACGGGTCTCGGCCCTGGTATGTTAACCGTGGGACGGAACGGTTGCCAGCCGCCTGAGGCCTATGCATGCGTATGCAATTGGCCTAGGGGTCAAAAGTGATCAATTGTGGTCTGGCGTGTGACCATGGACAGCGGAGTGGATAATAGTGTACTGATTAGCAGGTCCATCACGCGTTGTTGATTGGCCAATTAACTAAACCGGCTTACTGTAATCCGTCTTGCATTACTCTAATTGAAACAGATTAGCGTTACACCCTGTTGAGGGTTACCTGGCTCGGTGGTTAACTGTTCTCCAAAAGTATGACTATGAGATTGCTCTTCTTCTTCTTCAGTTTACGTTACAAGTGTAAGGTACGACAATGTAGCTTGAGCATCGTTAATATCAACGGGATTGTATGATGTCGGTCCATACAAGGAAAGTCACCTTAACCGACAAAGGAATGATCAAAGAAAATGTGTTCAAACGGACCAATACCATTGCTATATGGGTGGAAAATGAGACCAATGAACGTGTTAAATTACTAGATATCCTATACCATATACAGAATGTAAGTAGTTTTACAATACCTACTATAAAATGCCTTCAGAACACCTAACCTAACTGCTTCTATATAACATTCGACAATGAAGCAAACATGAAAAAATTTAACGAACAATTCAAAGACAATCTGTACGTAAAGGGCCAAGGTATGGTGATACTCACAGAAGAAATTTGGACTGAGCCTGTCGATGACTTTGAGATTGCTCTTCGTGAAGACACATCACACTGTAATGCTAACGCACTCTCTCGTAGGAAATGCCTAAGGGAATTGCAAGGATTGAATTTTAGGTTCAATGTTTTAGGTTGTTATCGATTAAGAGTTGACGGTTCAAAAGACCGCTGGAATGCAAACTGGTCAGTCGGACGTGAGAGCCACACTTCATGTGCCTTTGATGAGGCAATATTACACCCGACTGGCCAATAACATGGATGGCTCTGGCCAAGTTTATGGGTTGCAACCTTCTGCCACTTTCGAAATGTCGAGTTAACTTTTGCTAGCAGGAAAGTGCCTAATAGTCCTCTTTCTTTTCTCTATTCCATGTACCAGCTGCACCTATATATTAAAAAAATGTGGATGCCAGAAGTTGGGTCATCTAGAAGTTCTAGGTTTACTGAGAAAAATATGGTTAAGGAAACAGTACGAGTCGAAGAAGATTCGGTGTCAATTGTCGCAGTGATAGCCACTCCAGCAACTCCGAAAAAGTGTCCTTTCTTTTTGTGTCGGTCAACACGGTCCCCACTGCCCCGTATGTTGTGTATGATGATGTGATAAAATAAACCTGAATATATATTGAAATACTATAAAATCCAAACTGATGGTTCAAAGTATTTGAATGAAATTCTAGGCCCATGGCCAGACTGGTTTGTTCGGTGGATAAAGTAATAAATAATAAGGGGCGTATGGTGTTTAGTTGCAATAGTGGAATTGGTCGGTTAATGTGAAGCACTAAGAGCATGGTTTCTAGTTTACATGTGTTTAGTGAGGAAGTAACCCAGCAATTGTTATTATGGAAGCTAATAGAAAAACTTGCTCTGGGTCAGAAAGTATTTTTTATATAAAAATAAAGGTAAAGGATGCTGTAGTGGTTTATTGTCCTAGATTTAAACTATTTGATGTTTTATCCAAAATAACCTGTGTGGCCATTGGTATTGTTATTAAATGAAATGGGAGATTTTTCTTGGACCTATGCCAAATATGGTTTTTAAAAATGAATTGTTCGTATTTTACATTTGTATTGATATTAGCCAAATGGTTCATTTCGTTGAGGTACCAGATTAATTCGGGGGGTTGGCTAAGTGTACTACATTTTGTTATCTCAGAATCAGTCGAACACCTTGTTCTATCTTTTTCTCAGCAGGTAATTGTTCTAAATGGCAGATGGAAGTGTTCCCTTTCCTGGTAATCTGGCATTTCCCCAAATTATTCCTTGTTGACATGTTATGTAACAGAAGGAAACAAACTTTCCAATTCCTAGTTGGCATATTATGTAATACAGAAGAAAACATAAGCTATCCAGGCGATTTTTTTTCTTGCACATTTGCAAACATCAGTAATGTTTTTGATTTTAAGATACTGGGACAATGAATAGTAATTAAACCAACTTGACTCATCTACACTAGAAACGCTACTGACTGGATCCCCATTGTCTCTTTCTTCTTTACCTATTCAACAATTCACAATTTGAATATAAGTCCTATCAGGTCACACAAATATGTTATTCTTCAAACGTAACCAACACTCCGGTAAAAAAGGAAAGAAAACAAATATGATGAACTAATCAACAAAGCAAAGAGAAAGCGTTGAGTTAAATAAGAAAGCTCTGGAGATTTTTTATCAGAGAATTTCTATATTTGAATTTATTCTATGTTAATAATTCTAAGATATAATCAAACCATATGACCATATCGATAGAGCGTATCATCGCTCGCACCTGATACAAATTCTATGCGTCTAAATAAACAGTCGAGTAAGAACTGACAAGTGTTAGCACGTGCCAGTCTCGAAATGTGATTTTTCTCTTGTCTTTTTGTGTTTTGTCTTTTTTTTTATTTTGTCGATTTCAACTTCAAGGGAGAAGACTCGTACGAAAAAAAAAAACACAACTCCTGTCCAACTGTTCAGTATTTTATTCTTACCGCACTATTCATATGTATAATCATACCCATTGTACAAACCAAGCGTTTACTTTTCTCAAAGGACTATACTTCCTTTATAAAGCCTTTCCCAACGCTTATCGTCCTCATTTGAAAGATGAAAGCTTAATTTGTTTGGTTCCTCCTTTATTTATCGTTTATAGAAGTATTTGAAAGTACTCGGATCAGCAGTGAGTTGTGTTTGACACAGATTTGTTTTCTCGGAAATTATATTGTGATATTTTGGTTTTCTTTGTATTGCATTTGTTTCCTATAACAATAATAAGGATTAAAATGCTTTGTTTTTCGAGTATTGGCAATGTTTACAGTTATTGTAGGTTATGATTATCGATAATCTTCTTCCACATTGTATTTGAAATAAGTGTTCGTATTTACCTAATCTACACATATCTGAGCTGTATGGGCACTGGTGTAGCTCAGATCGACTGGTGGACCGTGGCGAGATGTCATGAAAGCGGGGATGAGGATGACCCTGCATCCGCTCTAACTGATCTAGAACTGGAACGTAGTGTACCACGGACCCGCTGGTGGTCGATGGAGCATGACGGGTTCGTATGAGCAGGGAGACTGGGGAAACTCGTGAATTCGTTGAATATGGAGGCCAATAACAACGACAAAAAGTATTTCTACGTTTATTCCAACACTAACAAAGCATGAATGATGGTAATGAGGCTTGTTAGTAGCTTACATTGTGCGTTTGTCGCAGCACACTGGCGAGGGAGGGGCACAGTCTAGGGAGGAGCTTGAGGCTAAGAAATAGTAGGGGTATACCTACAAATCATAGCTTTTCCCTATACATGGCAGAGGAAGTTGGGTGATTCAGCCTAGGACTGAGACGTGGCGGGTTTGCTTGAGCGGGGATGCGGTAGACCCCGAATCCGCTGTAACTTATTTAGAGCTGGACAGTAGTGTACCGCGGAGCCGCTGGTGGCGGATGGAACGTGAAAGGTCTGCATGAGCGGGGATAAGGATGACCCTGCATTCGCTCTAACTCATCTAGAGCTGGACAGTAGTGTACCACGGAGCCGCTAGTGGTGGATGGAACGTGAAAGGTCTGCATAAGCGGGGATCAGGATGACCCTGCCTTCGCTCTAACTCATCTGGAGCTGGACAGTAGTGTACCGCTTAGTCGCTAGTGGTGGATGGAGCGTGACGGGTCTGCATGAGCTGGGACGAGGATGACCCTGCATGAGCTCTAACTCATCTAGAGCAGGATAGTAGTGTACCGTGGACCCACTGGTGGTTGATGGAGCAGGAGGGCTTGAATGAGCCTAACCTAACTCGCCCAACCAAAATTGTGTGTCTTGTTGTATTTTAAGATCAATTAAATGATAATAATGAGTGAAAAAATAGAAAGATCAAAGAATACACTCAAGAGACAAAAAAATAATAAAATATAAACATCATGTCTCTAAATATATATTATATTTTCTGATTCTTTGTCCTTATTACAAGCTATTAATAACATCCAGCTTGTACACCCAATAATCGGGGATATATACAAGCTCTCTGGGCCGAAAAAGGACATTGTCCTTTGTTGGCTCCCCAGTCACATGGATATACGGGGGAATGACATGACAGATGCGGCGGCTAAGGCTGCTTTGTCACTGCCTGTTTCCCCCTTGTCTTTTAAATCGGTGATAAGGTCTTTTATTCAACATCGATGGCAGCAAAGATGGGATGCTGCAGAAACTAACAAGCTTCATGCCATTAAGCCTCTCCTAGAAGACTGGCCTTCCTCCTATTGTGCCAACAGGAGAAATAAAGTTGTTTTCTGTCGCTCTCGTCTTGGACATACTCACCTCACCAACTGTTATTTGCTCAAGCGAGAGCCTCAACCAGACTGTGAGCACTGCCAGATCTGCCTGACAGTGAAACACATTCTGATTTAGTGCAAGCATCTCAAACCTTTGAGATCCCTCTTTATGAGAAGGTTGTGGCTTTTTAAGATAGTCGGATCTTTATTTTGAATAGATTAATCATTGTTTGTTTTTAATATTTTGTTTGTTTTTAATACTGTTTTTATTTCAATGAGCAAATTTTACTCTAGATGCAGTGCTAATTAAATTATGAATTATTGGGTACACATATCGATGAGAATACAAATACAACAAGCAATGTTAAATTACACAAAATACAAATGAAATGAAATGCATTAAGGAGCATCAGCACCAAACGGGCTATATGGCTCCAGAATACGATAAAATAATAAAACATTAAAACAATATAACACCTATCAATATCACAGAAAGGAATCACATAGTGACAACAAAACAAGACGATAAAAACCATATCACAGGAAAAGTCATTTAATGACTACAAAAACTACTAAAAACAATATCGCAGGTAATACAAAATATATACAAAATATATGATTATACAATATATAGTATAAAATAATTTCTGTATCGCCCCACATTTAATGTATTGGGCACTATTTAAAATATTTTGATATTGAAATTAGTGTAACAAACAGTTAGACACTATAATTGAATTATTCTTAGAAAAAGGTAATACACTCTTGATGGTCAATCTGTAGTACATTTTTCACACTTTGTGTTTCCGAACTTTCTCTCCATAACTTTATTCTGAAAAGTAATTGTCATTTTTATTAAATGCAATGTTGAAAAAATATTAAGCCAATAAAAGATGGTGAATTGTAACACATGAAATCTACATATCGATCAACACAAACCGAAGAAAAAGATTGATTAAAAGTTTTCAACGAGCTAGTAAAGATCATAAATAGCATAATGTATCATAATTATCTATTCCTCATCATCAATTTGGTAAAACCTGATATTTGTACCTCTGTTAACTTTTACCAAGATTAGCATATGGTCTAATATCATCTATATTAGCTTCGTTTCTATCAACATTAGAACTATTATCTGATTGTATACTAGCTGTATTGTTGACTGTATCTAATTCTTGATATGTTTGTGTGTCATCTAAAACAAATAGAAGGGAACTTTGTGACTAATACAAATTAAAAATTAAATTTAAAATTTTAGTTATAAATACATTTGCAATGATTTTCGTCATTCTTGTTGTCACGCCTTCATTTCATCGACAGAAAAATGAATAGTGATTTTTGGTGAAAGCATTCAACATTCATCCATTTGTGCACTTTAGAAGATATTTTGATCAAAAAATGTTTCATGATTGTTTTTGACAGAATTTAATGTAAATATCTGGTTAACCGTCCTTTAAGCATTGTACTACAATTTTATACGCCCACATGAAATTGGCTTCATCCATATCCGATTGTCCGTCTGTCGGTCCGTCCACAATTGCTCGTAAACACTCTAGAAGGCACAATTATTCACAAAACTTGGTATGATTATTTGTAATCACCCGAAGATGAACCCTATTGAAAATCATAAAATAATGATTATGTGTCAATGCCCTTGTTAAATGCTCGTAAACACTCTAGAAGATGCAATTCTTGACTTTGTTGAAATTTAGTGTGAATGTTTGTTATCACCCAAGGATGAACCCTATTGAAAATCAGAAAAATCGTAATATAATGAGTGAGTTATTGCCCTTATTTTGGAAAACTTTTAGCCCATAAACAATCTGGAAGGCACAATTTTTGATTGATTTTGACGAAACTCCGTAATATTATACAGTATCACACCAAAAAATTCAAAATGTCATACTGGTAATTGTTACTGTACTGCCAAATATTTTGTATTTAAAATTAACTCTGCCAGTGGGTTTCTGGTACCTTGCCTGGCAAGCTATCTTAATATTATAAATGATCTACATGCAGTTTTATCAAACACAATATCAACTGTTTCTTAATGTACCAAATTATCTTAAAATTTACATAAAGTGTAATTAATGTCTACTTCAATAGTAGATTTTCCATTTCATTGCACAAATAATATGCCTATAAAGTTTAGCTGAAGGTTATCAATTCTCTATGTGACTCTTAATAATTGCCTAACACTTTGAATTAGAAAGACATATAAAAGACACGAATGAAAAGAAACTATTTACCAGATCTTGTCGTAGTATTAATCCCAGCGTAGCTATAAAATAATATAAGTATATATATATATGACTAAGATTACAATACAATAAACTAAGATTATATACACTCGACCACCAGTGTTGATTGCTTGACTAACATTGGGTCACTTTTTATGGTTACCTTCGCTCGGACA